GAAAGAAAAAAACAGGTCCTCATCACCACACATCAAATCAAATTCAAAGTAGGCGTCAGACCCCAAAGAAAGAGAGAGATACCGATACAAACGCACGCGCACACATTGTGTTGAACCGGCCGGGCGGAGGTGAGAACCCGCAGCTTTGGGGCTGGTTGAATGAGAACCGTCCAGATCAGGTATGGCGGGCAGCGGAACCTCCCCAAAGGTCCAAAACGGTTGGGCTGGATCCAGTGGGACGTGACAATACTGTACCTAACACCCGAGAGTTGATCGTCATACCGAAGGATGGGATTCTTTTCCATGGACTTGGCCTTACTACTTGCCTAGCGGCAAGCCGATGAGCAAAACGAGATCAACCGATCTTTCCCAAAAAGTATGATAGAGACAACGACTGTTGTGTACTAGTCACCTATCTACAAGATGTACAACCATATAGAGCAAGACTTGATACCCTCTTCGCCTCTATATAATTTAATTGATTAGTTTGATAGTATACGGTGCTTACCTCTATCTATAGATCTTTCGGCTTTGCTCACTCTCACTTGAATAGTATGTGTCTTTTCTTGAAACGAATGATTGCCCTGCCCCTCCCCTCGCTGCATGACTCTGGTATAGGTCCGTACTTCAGTCAGGATACTTCAAACACCCGATTATTCAAAAAGATAAAGAAAAAATGGTCTTAACTATTGGGTTTTGGAAGAGGGGGGAAGGCCTTTCCCCATTTGCCTCTCGTTCCAATCAGGGTTGAGTCATTTCTATTCCATGTACTTGGTATACGACAGCACTTATCTGCTCCGTCGCTCTTTTCATTCTCTTACCCTTACCTTTTCCACTCTGGGCCCATGGAGTCCCCTCTCGAGTCCTTTCAAATGTGATGGGAGTAAGGAATCAATCATTTAGGACTACTCGATAGAACCAACGAGAACGTCTTGTCTACCTATCTACCCTACGGAGTACTGCCTATGTATGACTCTGTACTTGTAGTCCAGGTATTGGGACCACCTCATCAATGCCCAGTAGTTGGAGGTATCCACACGCTGAATGAGTACCCAATGACAATCTTGAATGTGTATTTCCAGGTATGAAAATTACCACTTAGACTCCCATCACCTCAACTGTGCACCCATCTTGAGGAGGGAATTGTTTTATAATTAATTGATTTTATTTTCTGTTATTTTCGGGACAACAGGATCCATCCACTGTATTGGACGCATACAACCAACCATAGTTGTAAAAGGTGACGGATACTGCTGGCTGGCCTACGACCAGTAAGTAGTCTTCCGCCCCAACAACACTCACCAAAAGCTCACCAGCAATAATTTGGTTCCCATCCATCCACAACTTCACCTTCTCTCACCTCAGTTTCCCTTATTATCCTTCCTTTCTTTGGCTCATTCTATTTCTACCACATCGGCAAAATCTCCCCACTGCCTGTGGTCCCAACTGGGGTGAGTTTCTCTGATACCGCACGGTTTTTTTTATTTTATTTTCTTTCATTTGATGGCTGTTGTTTTCCTGGGGCCTTTACTTGAGTAGTACGTACAGTGTTTAGCATTATCTCTGCTTCTATGTTCCTTTTATTCCTCTTCCTGACATAAAGTGGTCATGCCCTTGGCAAGAGAAGGCACTGGAAACCATGACTTGTTAATAAAATTTCTAGATCAACTCACGCTGACAATTTCCGTTTAATTAGGCTTAAGCTTATTATTATCTCTTTAATTACTTTTTCCTCACCCTATATCTTCGTCTTGAGTCAGTTTCATTTTGACAGCTACTGCAAGTCTAGCCCGACTGTTGACGAATTGACGCTTGAGGAACTGGTTTATTTGCATAATCGTATCAGAGATCGATCCTCCATCCTCACCCTCTTCCCCGCTGTTAATATATTATACCCTCTTCAAGATGCGTCCCGAAATCGAACAGGAGCTCGCCCACACCTTGCTGGTAGAACTACTGGCCTACCAGTTCGCATCTCCAGTGAGATGGATTGAGACGCAAGATGTTATCCTGGCAGAGAAACGAACGGAAAGGATTGTTGAGATAGGTCCTGCAGATACTCTAGGTGGAATGGCACGACGAACGCTCGCTTCGAAGTATGAGGCATATGACGCTGCCACATCCGTTCAACGCCAAATACTCTGCTATAACAAGGATGCGAAGGAGATCTACTATGATGTAGACCCTGTGGAGGAAGAGCCTGAGGCCCCTCCTGCAAACAGCACATCTGCTCCAGCTGCTCCGGTGGCAGCTACTGCGGCTCCTGCCGCAGCAGCCCCTCCTCCCAGCGCTGGTCCCGCCGCAGCAGTTGAGGATGCTCCAGTAACAGCAGTGGATGTGCTCCGGACACTCGTCGCACAGAAGCTGAAGAAGGGTTTGTCTGATGTACCTCTAAGCAAAGCTATAAAGGACTTGGTTGGTGGTACGTATTTGCGAGTTTGTCCCGAGCTTCATGATATCTTGGACTGACGTTACCTACCCTGTAGGTAAATCCACCTTACAAAATGAAATCCTTGGGGATTTAGGCAAGGAATTTGGTTCCACACCAGAGAAGCCTGAGGACACCCCTCTTGATGAGCTGGGTGCTTCCATGCAGGCGACATTCAATGGGCAACTGGGCAAGCAATCCTCCTCTCTAATTGCTCGCTTGGTCTCATCCAAGATGCCCGGAGGTTTCAACATCACCGCCGTCCGCAAATACCTTGAAACACGATGGGGCCTGGGATCCGGCAGGCAAGACGGTGTTCTTCTTCTCGCCCTTACAATGGAACCCGCATCTCGTATTGGATCGGAGGCGGACGCTAAGGCATATCTCGATGATGTGACCAACAAATACGCCGCTAGCGCAGGAATAAGCCTCTCTGCCCCAGCAGCCGGTGGCGACAGTGGTGCGGGAGCCGGCGGCATGCTCATGGACCCAGCAGCAATTGATGCTCTGACCAAGGATCAACGGGCCTTGTTCAAGCAGCAACTTGAGATTATCGCAAGATACCTAAAGATGGATCTGCGCGCAGGCCAAAAAGCTTTCATCACCTCCCAGGAGACCCAGAGGGCTTTGCAGGCCCAGATAGATCTTTGGCAAGCCGAGCACGGTGATTTCTACGCTTCTGGCATTGAGCCATCCTTTGATCCTCTTAAGGCCCGTGTGTATGACTCTTCTTGGAATTGGGCCCGTCAGGACGCTTTAAGCATGTACTATGATATCATCTTTGGCAGACTGAGGGTCGTTGATCGTGAAATCGTGAGCCAGTGTATCCGCATCATGAATCGGTCGAACCCGCTTCTTCTTGATTTCATGCAGTATCATATCGACAACTGTCCTACTGATCGTGGCGAGACATACCAGCTGGCGAAGGAGCTTGGCGAGCAGCTCATTGAAAATTGCAAGGAAGTTCTCGGGGTTGCCCCAGTCTACAAGGATGTGGCGATCCCCACTGGTCCCCAGACAACTGTTGACGCCCGAGGAAATATTGGGTACAAGGAGGTTCCCCGAGCCAGCGCTCGCAAGCTGGAGCATTACGTGAAACAAATGGCGGAAGGCGGTCCCATCTCCGAGTACAGTAACCGCGCTAAGGTGCAAAATGATCTTCGCAGTGTCTACAAACTGATCCGCAGGCAGCATCGTCTGTCTAAATCTTCCCAGTTACAATTCAATGCGCTTTATAAAGAAGTCATTCGTGCCCTCAGCATGAACGAGAACCAAATTATGCCGCAAGAGAACGGTAATGGGAAGCGTTCGAACCGGCCCGGTCAAAAGCACAACGGCAGCCCTCGAGCTGGCAAGGTTGAAACCATTCCATTTCTACATCTCAAGAAGAAGACTGAACATGGGTGGGAGTATAATAAGAAGCTCACTGGTACCTATCTTGATGTGTTGGAGTCAGCCGCACGGTCAGGTCTTACATTCCAGGGCAAGAATGTTCTCATGACTGGAGCCGGTGCTGGTTCTATTGGTGCTGAAGTCTTACAAGGCCTGATTAGCGGTGGTGCCAAGGTGGTTGTGACCACAAGCCGTTACTCACGTGAAGTCACTGAGTACTATCAAGCCATGTATGCCCGCTACGGTGCCCGTGGCTCACAGCTGGTCGTGGTCCCTTTCAACCAAGGTAGCAAACAAGATGTAGAAGCCCTTGTCAACTACATATATGATACGAAGAAAGGGCTTGGTTGGGACCTAGACTCTGTTATCCCGTTCGCTGCCATCCCAGAGAATGGTCGGGAGATTGATTCTATCGATTCGAAGTCAGAGCTCGCTCACCGCATCATGTTGACCAACCTCCTGCGGCTCCTAGGCTGTATCAAATCTCAAAAGCAGAGCAATGGCTTCGAAACACGACCGGCCCAGGTAATCCTTCCCCTATCGCCAAACCACGGCACATTCGGGAATGACGGCTTGTACTCCGAGTCCAAGCTAGCTCTGGAGACGCTCTTCAACCGTTGGTACTCGGAAAGTTGGAGTAACTATCTTACCATCTGCGGTGCTGTTATTGGCTGGACTCGCGGTACAGGTTTGATGGCCGGAAACAACATGGTCGCGGAAGGAGTTGAGAAACTTGGTGTCCGCACTTTCTCTCAGCAAGAAATGGCCTTCAACTTACTGGGTCTCATGGCTCCTGCAATTGTCAATTTGTGTCAGCTCGACCCTGTTTGGGCGGATTTGAATGGTGGACTTCAATTCATTCCTGACCTGAAAGGCCTCATGACAAAGCTCCGTACCGACATCATGGAGACAAGCGATATTCGCCAAGCGGTGATCAAAGAAACTGCCATCGAAAACAAGGTTGTTAATGGAGAAGACAGTGAAGCGCTGTACAAGCGTGTTGTTGCTGAGCCTCGAGCCAATATCAAGTTCGAGTTTCCCAAACTCCCCAGCTGGGACGAGGAAATACAACCCCTTAATGAAACTCTCAAAGGCATGGTCAACTTGGACAAAGTTGTCGTTGTCACTGGTTTCGCAGAAGTCGGGCCTTGGGGTAACTCGCGAACCGCTGGGAAATGGAGGCTCATGGAAAATTCTCTCTTGAGGGATGTGTGGAAATGGCATGGATCATGGGGCTTATCAAACACCACAACGGTCCGCTGAAAGGAAAGTCATACTCGGGCTGGGTTGATGCAAAGACCGGGGAACCGGTAGATGACAAAGACGTCAAGCCGAAGTATGAGAAATATATTCTTGAGCACTCTGGAATCCGCCTCATCGAGCCTGAGCTCTTCAAGGGCTACGACCCAAAGAAGAAGCAGCTGCTTCAGGAAATTGTCATTGAGGAGGATTTGGATCCATTCGAGGCCTCTAAAGAAACCGCCGAAGAGTTTAAGCGGGAGCATGGTGACAAGGTTGAGATTTTTGAAGTTCCTGAATCTGGAGAGTACACCGTCCGTCTCAAGAAGGGTGCCAACCTCTTGATTCCCAAGGCTCTCCAGTTTGACCGCCTTGTTGCAGGCCAGGTGCCAACAGGCTGGGACGCTAAGCGATATGGCATTCCCGACGACATCATTGAGCAGGTTGACCCAGTGACCTTGTTTGTTCTTGTCTGCACTGCTGAAGCGATGCTCTCGGCGGGTATCACCGATCCTTACGAGTTCTACAAGTATGTCCATTTATCCGAGGTTGGTAATTGCATTGGCTCTGGAATTGGAGGAACCCATGCCTTGCGAGGAATGTACAAGGATCGGTACCTAGACAAGCCACTTCAGAAGGATATCTTGCAGGAGTCGTTCATCAATACTATGAGTGCATGGGTCAACATGCTATTACTCTCCTCTACTGGACCTATCAAGACGCCCGTTGGTGCTTGTGCAACGGCTGTGGAGTCTGTTGACATCGGATACGAGACTATTGTCGAAGGAAAGGCCCGTGTCTGTTTTGTTGGTGGTTTCGATGACTTCCAGGAAGAGGGCTCATATGAGTTCGCCAACATGAAGGCTACCAGTAATGCTGAAGATGAGTTTGCCCACGGGCGTACACCGCAGGAGATGTCACGTCCTACGACGACTACTCGTGCTGGCTTCATGGAATCACAAGGTTGTGGTATGCAACTCATCATGAGCGCTCAGCTCGCGCTGGACATGGGGGTGCCAATCCACGGTGTTATTGCTTTGACAACTACGGCTACCGACAAGATCGGCCGCTCAGTTCCTGCACCCGGACAGGGTGTCCTTACTACTGCGCGGGAGAATCCTGGCAAATTCCCATCGCCCTTGTTGGACATCAAGTACCGCCGCCGGCAGTTAGATTTGCGCAAGAAGCAGATCAAGGAGTGGCAGGAATCTGAGTTATTGTATCTTCAGGAGGAGGTTGAGGCCATGAAATCTCAAGGCTCTGAGTCGTTCAACATGCCTGAATACATGCACGAACGAGCCCAACACATTGAGCGCGAGGCCGTGCGCCAGGAGAAGGACGCACAGTTCAGTCTTGGCAACAATTTCTGGAAGCAAGACTCGCGCATTGCTCCTCTGCGTGGCGCTCTTGCCACCTGGGGCCTCACCGTGGATGACATCGGCGTCGCTTCTTTCCATGGTACTTCCACCGTCGCAAACGATAAGAATGAATCGGATGTCATTTGCCAGCAGATGAAGCATTTGGGCCGTAAGAAGGGAAACGCAGTCTGGGTATTTTCCAGAAATATTTGACTGGACACCCCAAGGGTGCCGCCGGTGCTTGGATGTTCAACGGCTGCCTGCAGGTTTTGGATAGTGGGTTAGTTCCCGGCAATAGGAACGCTGATAATGTGGACAAGGTGCTCGAAAAGTTCGACTATATTGTCTACCCCAGCCGCAGCATTCAAACGGATGGTGTAAAGGCATTCTCAGTTACCTCATTCGGTTTCGGTCAGAAGGGCGCGCAAGTTATTGGCATTCACCCCAAGTATCTGTACGCCGCTCTTGACCGCGCCCAGTTTGAGGCCTATAAGGCCAAGGTTGAGGCCAGACAAAAGAAGGCCTATCGCTTCTTCCACAACGGCCTGATCAACAATAGCATATTTGTTGCTAAGAACAAGGCGCCATATGAAGATGAGCTTCAAAGCAAAGTCTTCCTCAACCCTGATTATCGGGTTACCATTGACAAGAAGTCTTCTGAGCTTAAGTTCCCTGCAGTTCCCCCAAAAGTCGCAGATAAGGGAGTTGAAAGCACGAGGCAGGTAGTTGAGTCGCTGGCGAAAGCTCACGCCGTTGAAAACTCCAAGGTGGGAGTGGATGTGGAAAACCTGGAATCTCTCAATATTGAAAATGAGACGTTCATCAACCGGAATTTCACTGCTGAAGAGCAGCAATACTGTCGCAAGGCAGCCTCTCCCCAAGCATCCTTCGCCGGACGCTGGAGTGCGAAGGAGGCTGTTTTCAAATCCCTTGGTGTTTGCAGCAAAGGCGCCGGTGCTCCGTTAAAGGACATCGAAATCACTAACGACGCAACAGGGGCTCCTGTTGTTAATGTGAGTTTGCCCCTGTCTTTGGTTTTTGACGTAACTCATGCAACTAACTCTTTCATAGCTTCATGGTGCTGCAGCTGAGGCGGCCAAACAGGCCGGTGTGAAACAAGTCAATGTCAGCATCAGCCACAGTGATTCTCAGGCAGTAGCTGTAGCCGTTTCCACATTCTAATGGTTTGATGAGCAATCTGGGTTAGAGTATATGTATCTAAGTATAGATAATTTCTTCTTTTCATTGTTTCTTAATTCCCTAGCATAAGTCACCACGTTCTTTTCTAGGATTGTATATCTTCTGGCTAAGCCCTGTCAGGGACGGTGAACTCTGTTGAGGCGCTGCTGACTCCTTGCGTCTTTTCTTTAAAACCAACTATTGCAATCGACTCAGCCTACGTACATTGCTCTCCCGCTTAACCCCCCACTCTTCTGTCTCATGCAAATTATATATATATCCAAGGTAGCTTAATCGAGTAACTCCGATACGCATTGCGACAAGTTGTTCTATTCAATAAAAATTCGCTACTAAACAAGCCACACCGTCGAGTACGAGACAATATGGATTCTCAGCCTTGTCTGCGCCCAGACGCTCGATTTAATGGACCCCAGTTAGCGCGAGGGTTGAGTTGATATCTGACGAGTCGTTTTTTGACCACTTCTCTACCTAGAGACTCGTCGAAAACAACATCCAGCGTGCTAGTATTAGATTTGTTTGTAAGTGTTCCATGGACTTGGTTGGAACTCTGCGGCTCCTTTTGCATATTGGCAGGTCGAGAATCTGACTCGCTTTGGTTCAACGCCTGCCAGAAGCCGGAACGGTACAGCGCGGCTTCGACTTTTGTCACTACGTCGGAGATATCCTTCCCGTTTTCGGCAGCAGACACGATCTCTTGCTTCAGCAAATTTAGATTTTTCTCGCCCTCCTTCAGCTTCTGAATGTTTCCCCGGCTTTTCGCCATGATAGCAGCACCGGCAGTGCTAGGCTTAAGAGCATTTTCTTTGATAGGTGATTTTTGCCTCACCCATTCTCTCATGATCTCCCAAATCACATCCCAAGGTGCATCTGTGCGGATACTGTTCGGTTTGGTGTGACTACGGGTACATTGGTAACCCAGGTGTCGCACAGCTCCACGAAAAGCATCGGAAGAGATGGTGGATGTATGAAGGACTTTTGACAGAGCACTCAAACTGAAATAGAATGGGTACGGCTCTCGAAGAGCCGGGTCCATCCGCGGGATTATGGCTGGATCTTCGTTTAGTTCAGCATCCTTGATTTTGGAAAGAGTAGTTTCTGAACTGGCACCCTGTATAGGGTCGTTGGGAATCAGGTCCTCTTCAAGTGCTGTAGTTAACATGCCTTCGATTCTGTCTACCGTTTGATATATGCTTCTATCCACCTCAGGAAGCATAGCAAGAATCCTTCGGATGAAGTGAGGGTTATGTAGCGGCCCGGCCCACATTGGGCCGCCTATGTGAGTCTTCATCCCACAGTGCGCACAGTTCGTATTTGCCATGGGTCCCTGGGCGAATCCGTGATGGTAGAAAGGGTTCCCTTTTTTGTCAAGTCGTGGCTTCGTCTGGGTCAAAGGCTGTGTTGACCAAGCTCCGCAGCCTGAATCACAGTTGTAAACAACCATTGTATTACCCGACGCAAACTTAACGTCTGCTGGAGACCGATGAACGCGGACAAAGACTCGGGCGTAAAAATCGATTGACAGAGATAGAAGTGGCTCTATGGCCAGCCCGTACTTGGCAGCTGACCCCGCGAGTGCGTGAAGGATTAGGCGTAGCCACCTTCATGGGAGTGTGTACCTTTCGTTGGTACGCCACCGTACAATGCGTATGATTTTTCCGGGTATCCGTTGGATGCCCAAACCCCGGCATCGGTGCAGGTCACGCAAAGCAATCCCCCATCCTTGACAGCCTGCACAGCAGATTCCATAAACGGTGCAGCCGACCCATAAGGATCCAGATCAATAACATCAAACTTCCCAGTGTGCAGTCCACTAGTCTGAGTGTTGGCCGGGTTAAGAGTACTGTACATGTAAGTCCGCGCATCGCCGGTGTTAGGTTGAATGAGCTTCCCAAGTCTGTTGTATTCGATGTTCAACTTCATTGATTTGATGGCAGACGACGAAAGATCATTCGCAACAATGCAAGTAGCAAATGGAATCTCTGATGCATATCGTAGTGCACGCAAACCAGTAGCAGACAGAGCATCTAGAATTGTAAATGCTGGCGTGGTATTTTCTCCAGTGTGCGACTCTGAGGCTAGATGATCACTTCTTCCTGTCTGATTGTCAAAATTGCTTCCTTTACCGTTTGGTTCCTCTTCATCACCATCCTCCCTCTTCCGTTTCTTGCCTTTTGATTTCCCATCCGCTGCACCTCTTTTCTGCCTCCTTTCGGCTCTCTGCTTTTTTGAAGCCAGCACATGTTCCCCATAGGCTTTGATTGCAAGTACACTCAGGTCGCGATTGAATTGCTGGATAGGATTGTAGAATACGGACTGAGCCTCGTCCTCTGCCTTGAGATCTCTTCTTGTTCCTGTGGAGGCTGCAGCTTGGGAAGGTGGGTTCAGGATGAACGCATTCCCTTCTTTCACCGCGTGGTATTCCTTGCCGTCATACTGAACGAGTTGATTTAGAATACTAGACTTTGGTTCTGTTTCCATAATTGACGATCGTGAGAAGCAATATCGTATAGAAAGTGGGATGCCGGGGGCAAGCTGGGAGTTTTCAAGTCTTCGGAATGTCAGGGCATTGGTCCGTATAGATTCGAAAAAGGCCAAACGAAGTGTCGAGATACGGTAAGGACCCAAGAGACTCAGGCTCATCGGCTCCGGTATAGACAAACCAGTTCGTAAGGCAGCAGAAGTGTTTAGCTTTGAACTGTTGGTTATAAGTTTGGTTCGCCGCCCACGAAAAAAAAAAAGAAAAAGAAAAAAAGAACAGAGGATCGGACATAACGCACGGACCATTATTTAAGGTCCAATACATTCTCACGTACGGGTGTATATAAATAAAATAATTGCAGAGCGCATCGCGCTCTGCAACCAACAGTATGCCCATCTTCTTTGGGAAAGGAAATTGTTGTCTCTTAACTGAGCTACCAAGCAAGTTTCACTGTTGAGTATTGTACTGCATATGCATGAGCTCCAACCGAAGAGCTTGTTTCCCTTTTCTTCTCTATATAAAGGTGTGTGTGCCTGCATAAAGTCCGAAAATTTCTCCAACCATACACCCATTTCATAGCAAGGGCCCGAAAATAGGTACTTGTTTATAAATTTCATTCCAGCCACTGGCCTCCCATCCCGAACCCTGGCCTCCACGACCAATTATACCCAGAGCGCCCGCCAGCCAGACAGTTGTTCCTAGCGCGGCAACTCCATTGACTATCCACCACATTTTTCTCTTTCTCTTGACCTGCTCTTCGCTTTCCGTGTGCCCCAAGTAACTTTCCATTGAGCATTTCTTATAGCCTCGTTCCTTCTGAGCAGTGGTGACCCGCCAGCCCATCCAAGCAGCCCATCCTCCAACGATATGCCACATCCCAACGGCGGCGAGGGTCACGTAGTATACATTCCAAAAGACAGGGTTTCGTGCGATTCCATGAGCAACATAGCCCAAACCCACTCCCGAACTCCCACCATCGGCGATCAATGGCGTGATACGGTTTACGAGGACGTGAGCGCCAAGGAACGGGACGAAGCAATACCCTAGACGTGCTTGCAGGCTCATCCGCGGCCAGAAATTCAGGGAATATCTCTGGACCCTAGTCTCCGCCCCATACAGTCGTGCACGGCGAGAAGAACGAAGATTGCGGAGAGCAATGCCGGAAGCGATATGAATGAGGATGGGAACGGTCAGGATCACATGTTCAAGCCCTGGAGACTGGTAGATAGGTCTCGTAAGAAGCAGATAGGTTTCACTATCTGGAACCGACCGAGTCGCCAGAGGGAAAAGAGAGGTGTTGGCGAAATGCAGCGCAAAGAATAAAGTGGGGGGTACGTTGAGTATCTCTGAAGTGCGGATACTGGAGTCACCCCGACTGTTAGCTCAATGTAACCCAAAATAGTTTAACAGGACATACACCATGAATCCCAGTTGTGTCCACGAAGACCTAGGCTGAATCGGGGCAGTCTGGCTTCTGATATATTTCCAACTTTAGATGGACAAACTTGTGATTGAGGGATGTATTGGCCACTTTCAAGGTCGGAGAATCCCTCATGCACTGGTGAGGGGTCCAGCTCCTGCATAGATATTACCGAGTGCGTATCGATATCGTTTTGTTTTGGCGAGATGCTTTCTTTGGAGGTCATAGTAATAGATTGAATCCCGTCAACCTTTTACGGGTGTCAAGGCGGATTAGGCTTCTTCGTCGTCTTCTTCTTCTTCTTCTTCCTCTATTCTTTTGCCTCTGATTTTTTGCACCTATATAATCATCGCAATGGTGGTATCATCAATATCGCTAAACATGGAATGAGGCATAGGTGATATTCTTTTAGTACTCTTGTCTATTTCTTGGAATGCTTCCCCCAATGCAACCATTATGATTGGTTGAGAGGTCACCCATGTGGAAGCTTAGCCTATAGAGGAAGGTCCTACGGGTACCCGTGACCCATAAGCTACCTACGTACTAAAGTACTCGAACTAGCTGCGGGCCTGGATTCATCTTTGAGCAACCTTAGGTACAACAACATTAAAAGACCGCAAGACATGATTTATCTTCTCACTCTTTCTCCATTTTGAATTGACTGAGATATTCGTTCAAATACACATTGCTCCTCAACGTACCAAAATCTCGTTTCATTTCCAAACTGCTGTGCTTTATAGCAAGATGGCACCTGTATGTCTATCGTGTTACGGCACCGAGTCCCCGTTAAGCTATAATGGAAGATTCTGGCATTGATGAGCTGATGTCTAATAAAACCAGCGTGGCTTTACCAATCCTGCTCCCAAAGTATGACCCAATTCCGCCAACGGACAGCGGAAGCTGGTCTTCTTGACTAATTCACGAGCTCCGTTACAGACAGAGTCTGCACGCTCTGCTTTGAGCTCCTTTACCTGTACACTCTGCAACAAATCGTATTCGCGGCATCCCGAGTATGAAGCACATATCTCTTCTTACGACCATCAGCATCGCAAACGCCTTCAAGATCTCAAACAACTCTCCCGGGACCCAAACGCTGCGGAGAAGGCTAGGCGAGCGGAAAAGAGGGCTGACGCAGAGGCTGGCCTAAGAGTCATTGATACGAAACCTGGCACAGCAGTGGGAACTGGGGGCGGGGGTGGTGGAGGTTTCAAGAAAGGGGGATTTAAGAGCTCCTTTACGGCTGTCAAAGGCCCTGTTGCTCCGACAGCACCAACGAAGAAGAACGTACTCGGGGATGATGACGAAGATGAAATGCCAGAAACAACAGATAGGAGCCAACGTGCTCAGGCTACACAAGACTCAAGTGCTCAGCCTGACTATGCAGAAAGTGACACGGATGCTGAATACGCGAGTGATACAATGGGTAGTGACTACTATGATCCCCTTAAGCCGACGGGCTGCTTCTCTGGTTGTGCCAGTACTAGACATATACCCATAGAGGCTGCTGTGGTCAAGGGGTAGGGTCAGTCACAACGAAGATTATGGGAAAAGGGTTGGCGTTCTTGTTCGGAATAGGGATTATTGGCCCTTTTTTTTGTTTATTTTCATTTTTAGGACTTGCAAGGACCGTAGGATGATCGTCTGTAGGTGCCAGCCATACTACCTAGTACGACTACCTCGGATGAAACTCGAAGTACACTCCTTCGTAAAAGGCTTTCAGAAGCTCCTAATAGGAGCCGGATTGAACTCCAGAGGCACCACGATGCCATCGTCCGAGAGAATGTACGTCCGGAAGAGTACAGACTTATTGTATGGTAAGCCTTGAAGATGCAATAAAGGTTGTTCTTTAGTATAGTCGTACAGATTTCCAACAAGGGAATTTAGCGGTAAGCCCCGCGAAAACAAAATATAAAAATGTATGCAACAGCAAAAGGGTACTAGACACAGGGTGATTACTCGGTTTTATCTCCTCCACTTCTCATCTCAACCCAATTTACAAGCGTAGAAGCTTGGTGGCCTGGCCAAGGATGGTGTCCACCTGGGGAAAGCTCATCTGCTCAAGGCCGGCAGCGTAAGGAGTAGGCACCTCAGCACCGGTGACACGAACGGCGGGGGCAGTCAGGTAGTCAAAGCCGTACTCCATGGCTAACGCCAGGATTTCTGAGGAGACGCCAAACATAGGGAATCCAGACTCGACGCACATGATGCGGCCGGTCTTCTTGAGCGACTGAATAATTGTCTCGACATCAAGGGGCTTAACGGAGCGGAGGTTGATCACCTCGGCGTCAACGCCGTATTTCTGCTTCAGCTCAGCGGCAGCGTCCAGAGATAGTCCGACGCAGCGAGAAAGAGAAACAATAGTCAAATCCTTTCCAGGACGTTCAATCTTAGCCTTGCCAATAGGCAAGACAAAGTCATCCTTCTGAGCGGCCTCGCTCATGGGGAAGGCCTGACCATATAACAACCTACGCATTGTTAGTTTAGAATATCCTATGTCATCATACTTGCTTCGGTCACACATACTCGTTCTCCAGAACAACGACAGGGTTGGGGTCACGAATAGCAGCCTTCAACAGACCCTTGGCGTCCTCAGAGCTCCACGGGGAAACAACCTTGAGTCCGGGAATGCTACCGTACCAGGCCGAGTAGTCCTGTGAGTGCTGAGCGGCAACACCGGCAGCGAATCCATTGGGGCCACGGAAAGTGACGTTGCAGGGCTGAATACCACCAGACATGTAGTGGGTCTTAGCGGCAGAGTTGATGATTTGGTCAATAGCCTGCATGGCGAAGTTGAAGGTCATGAACTCGCACTAGATTTTGAAGTTACTTGTCAGCTGACAGAATTTCTCCGGTAGTCGACAGTTGAGTAGCTCGTCGATATGCACTTACAACGGGGTGTAGGCCAGCAAGAGCAGCGCCAACCGCCAGACCGCAAAAGCCTGCTTCTGTGATAGGCGTGTCAATGACTCTCTTGGGGCCGAAACGGTCCAAAAGACCTCTTGTCACTTTGTAACTATGAGGGACAAAAGTCAGTGATGGATGCAGGACTCGATAGTGTTTCTTTCCAGGGATAGCCATACGCTCCGTTATACTGTGCGACCTCCTCTCCCAGGATGAACGTTTTCGGGTTCGTCTCCAGTTCCTCGGCGAGAGCTTCGTTCAATGCATCACGAACAGTGACTTCCTTAACACCAGTTTCCGTAGCATAGCCCCGGGAGCGCAGGATGAAGGGAGCGCATGCCGATTGGGGGAAGGCCGGACGGCGAGGAGCAGAGAGACGCGATGAAAGCAGACGAGCTGCAGGGCGGAAAAGTCGGGGAGCAGCCATGGCCGGGCTGAAGGACATTTATATCAGCAGAAGAAAGGAGAGGGTGTTCACAAGGCCTCCGCGGTGAACGGATCAACAAGTGAAGTCAGAAGGAAGGAGAGAAGATAGATACCGGAGCGAAGGGTTCGCAATTCCGTTGTTTCGGGACTTGGTCGTCAACCTATTGGGGATTTTAGTTTTTGGTGAGCATTTCGAGAGACTGTTGGGTTGGGGATGACTAAGCAACGGGCGGTCCTCACCGGCGGCTCCTTCCGTGAGAGTGATAACAGATGCGATAACGCTGGACTCCGTACTCCGTTCCTCGTGTGCTACGACGGAGACTCTAGTCCTTCCTACCGTCCACTTAATCATCCATCATTATTGTTATGATAATAAGAAGGATGATCTTCGATCGGTCCTATTCGCATATTCTCTCCTTCTTCGCCCTCGTCGCTCCCATACTGGCTCGTCAGCCGTCCGCTCCGGAACCCATCGCGGCCCCTTTGCGTGAGCTGAAATGGGGACAACTCAATTTTCTCCATACTACGGATACTCATGCTGGCTAGCCGGCCATCTCCAGGAGTATGCACATTGAGCTGGACATAAATCCCTCTGCGGATGCCAAATGATACTGATTGAACCCAATATAGGCCCTCTTACTCCGCAGACTGGGGTGATTATGTCTCCTTCGCCACCCGGATGCGAGAGAAAGCGGAGGCACAAGGACAGGACTTACTCGTCATTGATACGGGTGACAGGGTAGAAGGCAATGGTCTCTATGACTCGTCGGAACCGAAGGGTGTCTATATCTCGGAAATTCTGCGGCAACAGCATATCGACCTGTTGTCAGCCGGGAATCATGAACTGTACAAACAAAACACCTCGGAGGCTGAACTCTTCACTACAGTCCGTAATTTCCGCGGGAACTACCTAGCATCTAACATTGATATAATACATCCTATGACCAAAGAGACTGTGCCATTGGCTCCTCGGTTCAAGAAATTCACGACCGAGAAGCAAGGTATCCGTATCATTGCTTTTGGCTTTCTTTTCGATTTCACAAAGAACTACAATAACACCATCGTCTATTCAGTGGAAAAGACTATTAAAGAAGATTGGTTTCAGGAAGCTATTAGGGACAAGGAAGTTGACCTCTTCTTGGTGGTGGGGCACGTTCCTGTTCATTCCAAGGAATACGATGCTGTCTTCAAGGAGATCCGGATGATCCGTTGGGACACACCCATTCAGTTCTTTGGTGGTCATTATCATATCCGTGACTTTGCCAGATATGACTCTAAAGCGTTTGGGTTAGCAAGCGGTCGGTTTATGGAGACAATCGGCTTCATGTCAATCGATGGCCTAACCACTAGCAAACAGCTCGTAAAGCCTACTTTGACAACCCCAAGCTTCCATCGAAGATATATAGATAATAACCTTTATTCCTTCTACCACCACACTGGCCTTGACGAGGAAACTTTCCCTACGAAGGTGGGTCGAAATGTGTCTCGGCTTATCCAGCAGTCTAGGAGCACTCTTAGGCTCGATAAGGTACACGGCTGTGCCCCTCGGGATTTCTGGATGTCGCGCGTCAAGTATCCAAGTGAGAATAGCATTTACACTTGGCTTGAGCAGCAGGTGCTGCCCAACTCATTGCATGACAAATCTCGCGCTGGCAAGCCGGCTCTAGCCATAGTCAACACTGGCGCCATTCGCTTTGACATATTCAAAGGCCCTTTTACCCAAGACTCGGTATTCATAGTGTCTCCTTTCACCAGCGGTTTTCGTTATCTTAAGGACATTCCTTACGAGAAGGCCACTTTTATAGTCGAGATCTTAAACAAAATGCCACAGATTCTGACCGATGCTGACAACCGATCCAACATCACTTGGGGACTTGCGCCCCCAGAACAGTCAGCTTATTCCTCTGATATAATATTTGACGATAGCCTCGCTCTGAGCTCTACGAATTACCTCAGAGATCAGGCGCCGCTGCTGAGGAACGATCATTTCGAGCCCAGCATTATCCCTGGGTATATTACTACAGACGATGAGGGCTCCGATGGCGATGACACAATTCATTCGCCCATCTCGTTCTACCGTGTTCCCAATTGCATCCAGGCTCTAATCTCTTCAAAAGAGTCGGCGGCCCCGGAAACAGTGGATCTCGTATATATTGATTTCATAGAATCCGACGTGGCTCTAGCAGCCAAATTTGCGGGGCTGGCTATAGACATCACTCAGGACAGTAATGTGTATATGCCGGCTACGACACTATCGAATCTGATCTTGGATTGGGTTAAGGACAACTGGAGTTGTAAGGAAGTGTGAAGTATTACGGAAAACAGGCCCTCTCTACTGTCGTTACTTTATTACATCTTAGTTCAGAAGTTCTGCACAATTGTGGGTAGACATTGCATTACTTGGCACATAACCATTACAAAGATTCAATCTCCGCCTTCGTACTTGAGCAGGCCCTTTCCACTGCGGTAACCACTCAAGGTTTCCTGCACGCCAGAGGTGAGTGCCGCACCGTCTGTGTCCCAGGTCCACTTTATTTCCTCCACGGGGATGTCTTTGAATTTGCCCGCCCGGGTCAGCTGTAGCACATCGTTGATGGTGTTCTCCTTGAGTTGAGGATGCTTATCCCCCCATTTGCTCACCCAAAATCCATCAAAGACGAGGTTCTTAAAGATCAATAATCCGGAAGGTAAGGAAACTGGCTGCTTTGACATCGCGCCGTAGGTGACCAGGTGGGAGCCTGGAGCGAGGGTCTTCGCCAATGCAGTGGCGTTCTTACCACCCACACAGTTCAGAGCAAGTCGGATCGGCTCCCTTCCGTTGCGAGTGAGGCCGCTCACCACGTTCTTGAAATCGCCTGAAAGTAACTCCGCTTCCGTGACTACAGCAGTGGCACCGAGTTCATGAAGCTCAGCCTTCAGGAGTTCTGTCTCCTCTGGCGTCTTCCTCTCCCGGACGACATTGATTGTCTTAATACCCCATTCTCGTGCGAGTTGAATGGCAGCACGACCAACACCACTGTTTGCTCCGTTCTGAATCAGCCATTCCTCTCCACTCCGCATCCAATCCCATTCACAGAAGTCCTTGATCATGCGGTAAGCCGTGACTGGGTTGACGCTGACCGTGCTAATCTGGAGCGGTGATAGACCTTCTTTATTCTCAATTTTGATCAGCTGCGACTCATCCATCTGAGCGT